TTTACTTTAACTCCAGCTGCATTATGCTTCTCTGCTCATCATCTGCACACAAGAGGATATCATTACTTGCTGCACAGATGGAAGTTGATTTAGTTAAAGGTGGGTTAATATGGACAATTTGTTTATTCAGTTCTCGACTTGTGCAGCTAAAGATCCCAGATGTGTCGTCAACCGCTTCTGTAGAACTGGACCTGTACCCTCAAGTGACAATCTGAAACGACTAAGCTGCGAGAGCAAATCAGCTCGCGATTTTAGGCGTCCAGGTTTGAAAAGTACTTCGCCTTTCAATTCAATGAAACGGATTGCTGATGAGCCTCTCTCTGCAACGAAGACTTCGCCATTGGTAAAGCATAGGTCCCGCGCATCCTTGAATACTTCCCTCCGAACATTTACATCGACTGGTCGGTGTAAAAGCAGTTCTACGAGACTATCGGGAGTCGAAATCGTAGTCTAACGCCAGTACTTTGCCTTGGGGCCCAATTTAAAGTGCAATTGGTCTTTTGCAAACACTACTTTGGTTGGATTTCCAGAAGCGATACTTTTCAGGAACTATTGTGTGGATTACCAAACGTATCCCCTTAAGTATATCCAGTACTGAGGGTCTAGTAAGGCGCATTATCGGCTAAGGACAAGAGCATTTCAGTTTCGGCTCACTGTTCGTGAGTGATTTTCTTGATTTTCTTGCAGAATTTAAAAGAGCAGATAAAATTTGAAAATCCTTTGGGGTCTCCTTTCAAACACTAAACAGTATTTTTTTCGAGAACAGTAAACATTAAAAAAAAAAAGCCAATTTAACAGAAAACATTAAAAAATATGGCCAAATAACACTAAACACTAAACCCCATTCAGACCCTCTTCTATTGCACAATCCCCCCTCTCCTCACTAAAGAAAAAACAAAGAGAAAGGAAGAAAAGAGAACTTCATTTTTCTGCCATTTCAATTTTCCACGAGCAAGGAAAAAAAGATTTTCTAATCTTTGTGACATTCTTAACAGATGATCAGGTTCCTGATTGGTCACTGACGAATGTATAAGTACGTCATAAAGGGGTTTCTATATGATACTTTGTCGAAATTAAAGCTCTTAAAGATTGATAAAATATATATATATTTTGAAAAAAGAATCTACAAAAGAACTTGGTTTGATTTCCACTATTAATGGTTACCTATGAATTAAGAGAAAAATTACAAGAATTTCCCAAATATTGAGAAGTTATTCATATGTACCAGAGATGCACAAAGAAGAGAAGAAGAGAGATTTTCCTTTAGATTATGATGAACAACAAATCATTTAAACTGCTTGCACATTTCATAATCTATGGTCAATCGTGAAGTTTGAAAGGTTTGCAAATTGCATTCGCTCACGTCTCAAGCAATCACGAAAACTTTTCTAACATGACTGGCGCCCTTAAAACACGAAATGCTTGCGCAGTTAATGCAATTTCCCAAACCTGTCATCAAAAGAAATGCCCCATTTTTCCCCCTTGAGGCTATGTGTTACCCTCTAACTTTAGCCCCGATGATGAAACAGCAAAAAAAAATTCATCAGAGAAAAAAGGAAGCATTATAGTCGCCAAGTTACACTTTCTGTGCGGGTTTTCGGTTAGCAAACAAACAAAATCTGCTCAAAGCTATTCACATAAACTCTATGAATTCTACTGTGCCGTTACAATCAAAGGCATTGGGAATCATTTCATGCTGGTGAGGCTGGTCAAATGCATTTAAGAACAATCATGGAAGTAGTTGTTACCGTATGGTACCGAAACACGCCGAAAAGATAAGGCTTCTTACTCAGCGACTGCAGGGCGCAAAAGCACAGTAGCAGTAGCATCTAGAAGGTCTTCAAAATGGACGAAGCTACTCGACGACTTTTTCTTCTTCAAAAGAAAATATCAAATGAAAAGTCGTCAAAAGAGGGAAACTGTCTCCTTAGAAGGCTATGCCCCAAAATGGTGTATGAAATAGATAAATAAATAATAAACGCAAAAAGAGAGAGGATAAAAAAGGAATCCAATTTTTTTAATTCTTACAATCTGATCAATAATGTTTTTTTTAATAATTTAATATTTACATCAATTCACATGAAGTAGATCATTCCATGTGTATTTACATTGTTATTTAAAATATCTTAACCATTATTTAGTTAAAAAGGCAACCTTGAATTGAAAAATTCGGCTTCAAGCGAGTCATTTGAATTCCACTTCTTCATTTAACCCTTAAACTCCGAGGTTAGTAATTCTCCTTACTGTTAGGCATACAATTCTTTACATGTCAGTTCTGAGAATTTGATACTAGATCAATTAATGATTCCCTAAAATTGATAATTTTCTTCATTCTCATCACTTGTGTGCATGATACTGTATCGACATTGTAAGGAGAATTGCTGTCGTGGTCACTCATGGGAGTTAAAGGGTTAAGGTGTTAGAAAATTAATATGATGCTAAATGACTCCCTTAAATTCTTACGTCGGCGAAGAAAACCGTTATTGAATGGAAATACTTAAGAGCCTTGATAAGCCGTACAACCAAAAGAGCTCTCGAGTTCAACTTTAGCTACGAATGGACTGAATCAGTCCATCAATTGTAGTACAATCTCTAGATACGTTTGAGGGTAGTAGGAAATTTGCGCTTCATATAAATATATTTTTTTGGTGTAATCTACTTTCTGTTGTCAATATATGAACCATCTTTGTAAATTGTCTCTTTCGAAGAATCTGATATTTTTTAATTCTGTCATTTTTAATTTGTTTGAATCGTACCATTCCTTACTCATCCATA